ACCCTGTCATTCTCCTTTCTCCTTCAGGCTTCAGCTCCTTACTCAGTGAGCCCTTCTTGACCACTTCATCATTCAGTTTCAGAGCCCCCTGTCTAGGATAGGGGGAGTGTGGGTGTGTGTATGTGTGTGTGTGTGTGTGCATGTGCGTGTGTGTGTACCTTTCCATGTCTGCCCCACCACTAGATCCTACGCAGAGTATGACAAGAACTTTGTCCAGTTTGTCACCCAAGCCAAGCCCAGAGCCTGCACATAGTAGGTACTTCAGATTGAATTACAGACCTGTCCAAGTGTAAGTTGTTTTTTTGTTTTGTTTTGTTTTTGATACAGAGTCTTACTATGTCACCGTCAGTAGAGTGTCATGGCATCACAGCAACCTCAAACTCTTGGGCTTAAGTGATTCTCTTGCCTCAGCCTCCCAAGTAGCTGGGACTGCAGGCGCCTGCCACAACACTTGGCTATTTTTTGTTATAGTTATTGTTTAGCTGGCCCAGGCTGGGTTTCAACCCACCAGCCCTGGTGTGTGTGGCTGGCACCCTAACCACTGGGCTACGGGTGCCGAGCCATAAGCTGTGTTTCTATCAAGTAAGAAATGGCATTCTGAGACCTCTCTGCATTGCAGCCTCTTGCTTTGTTTTCCTCCCCACTCCAATTTCTATGAGCTTGTTCTATCCTCAACCCCATTACAATAAAGGCATTTAATATCCTCTTTGATTTCCCTTCAAAAACAGATTGGGACTTGCAATTCATTTAGCATACATTGAAACCTGAAAAGTCTAAGATTATGTTTCCAAGCAACAAACTTGCTATAATAAAGACAGAGGAAAGATATCATCTTTTGAAGAGGACCTGGAAAATGACTATTTCTGGCAGAAAACTTGTTTTGTCTCATTGAGTGGAGCTTCAGAGTCATTCATGAATGAGTAATACACTCGGGAAAGATCAATGAAGCATCCTCTTAACCCTCTCAACCTATTTTCTTAAGAACTGAATCAAAGGAAAGTTGTAAGGAGGAGATGATGAGAGATTTAGAAAGAGAAAAATTGTGGTTGCTGTTATGTATAACTCTTGAAGGAATGAAAATGGGCAGTTCATCTAGTTTACTGAATAATTTTTCAGGCTTCAATCATAAGTCACCTAAGTAATTTTTTTTTTTGCCACTTCATTCCAATGTTTGTTTTATTATTTTCCAACAGTAAAATAAAATAGTGTGCAAATGCCAAAAGTTTTTTAAAAGTGAACGTGCAGTATAAAAATCTTAGTGGTCTTTGCTTGGGTAGATGACTACAGTTTTAATGTAATGCCATATGCTTTTTTTTTTCCTCCTCTGAAGGAATCATTTAATACATTTAACATATTCTCATCTTCTTTCTTAATAGATAACAAGTTGTCCTCTGTAAAGTTCTTAAAGTAGAATAATTGCAAATTAAATGACATAATTAGATTCTGGCATCAAAAAATAGTGATGCAGGTGAATCATGGTGCTGAGTACCACAGTGTTGAGCGTGGGGCCGCATCCATCACGTGAGCAGGTGAAAGGAGTGAGGAACTGCAGAAAGACATTGCTCAGTGGTTCCTAAGCCCAGAAGGACCTTTTCCCAGCATCACACCCCTCTGCAAAGGAAAGCAGCCCTTCCTCAAAGCTTCTGACCCAGCTTGTGTTAGAGGACAAGACCAACATCAGTCCTGTGGAGCTGTCCGCAGGTCCTGCCACCTGGAGCACATCAGTTCTTAGGCACTCCAGTGGTAATAGAACAGCAATGCTTGTCTTTTGTTTTGCTTTTACTTTTTAAAATCATTTTCCGACAGGCTCTGCATCAACATGCACTCTTTCTCTATCACAAAAGTCAGCAGGAAATATCTGGGGGCAGGAGAGAAAAGAGTCAATAGACATTTTAAATATTGACAGCCTTGGTCTATTTCCGTGGCTAAGGGAAAACTCAGATGCCATGTTAGATTTCTATTGAACTTTCAGTCACATCTCTTACGATTTCTGTTATTCCAGGAAGAGTCGGTCTCCCATGCCTCCTGCTGAGATGATGTTATAAGACTATACGAATAATACATTCCACCTTTCTTTAGGGGAGTTCAAAATACTTCTTGTATATTCAGCCAAACAGAGTCAGGAGTAGAGAGTTAAGTTCTTTTCAAGTATCAATGCCAAAAATGAAGGCTGTCTTGCTGAATGAGAGGAGAACTCTTCAGGAGACAAACCTGTGAACATGATTGTACCTGCCTCCTGCTGGGTGCTTTTTGTGAGGATGCCCCTGGGCTGGCTCTCTGGGAGAGCACAGGGAAGGAATGAAAGCAGAGAGAGGGAAGTCCCCATCCGCAGAGGGGTCTGAGTGAGTGGGTTTCTCCTCTTCCTGCTCCCTCGCTCTGCCCTCCCAGGCACCCTCATCAAGAGAAAGATTGTTAGATACTGTTCTTTCCTCCTGGGAAGTAATTGTGTGACACTGGAATGCCAGGACACTGGGACCTTAATTCACTGTTCACTGGAATCTCAGGAACAAAAAAGGGACACTAACCCCTTTGATTGTCCACAGGAGCCTGAACATAAACTGGCACCTTCAATAACCCATTCAGAGAAGGAAAAGGCAGTTAGGAAACTGAGCTGTAGGTTGAGGGCCAGACTCAACGTCTGTAATAACTGAGTGGTAAAACCCATCCCAGATGGAAGGCTCTCCATCCCCAGCTGGACAGATCTGATGGCTTTTCCTAAATGTGTTGTCGTGTCACTTGTGGAAATCATCTAAGTTCCTTTTTCATTTCCTTCCCAGTTCCCATCGCCAGGCCCTGAAGCTCATGAATCATCAATATTTGATGATTTTGGCATCAAAAGATAGTGGTGCAGGCAATTTGTGGTGCTGAGTTCCAATGTTGAATGTGTGGCCACGTTCATCACGTGAGCAGATAAAGGAGTGAGGAACCCACACCTGTCCCTGTCACCTGACCTTGCAATGAGCATGCTGCAGTGTACACGCTCATCATTGTAAGGGGACGGGGTGAGGAACCGACACCTGTCCTTGTCACCCCGACCTGCTGCAGTGTACATGCTCATCATTGTAAGGGGACGGGGTGAGGAACGGACATCTGTCCCTGACGCCCGACCTTGCGATGATGAGCATGCTGCAGTGTACACACTCATCATTGCAAGGGGACAGGAGTGAGGAACTGACACCTATCCCTGTCACCCTGACCTGCTGCAGTGTACTTGCTCATCATAGTAAGGGGACAATTCCTCCTCGCACAGGGACCTTCCTGTTCTCAAAGGCAGTGATGAGCTCTCATGAATGTGACAGAAATGTGCTCACTCAGTTCCCAATACCCTGGGGTTTCGAGTAGGGGGTGCCCCAGCTGAGAATTGCTGCCAGGGACTGGGACAGGCCCTGGCCCTGCTCAGTACCACCAATGTCTCATTTGTTAAGATTCTGCTCAGATTTCAGTGGGAAGGATTCCCTGACTGATTCATTCATGGAATGTTTGCTTAGCAGACGTTTACTAACACCTGCTGACAGCTCATCCTGCCGTACCTCTACCTTCCTAACACTGTCCTGTCTTCATCTTTTCATTATCATGTTACTCTAAAAGGGTGCTCGAATCACCCCTGGACCTCTCTTCTGACCTTCCACCTAGGAATAAGCTTCTCCAGGACAGAGGTTCCTTCTACTTTTCTTTTTATCTGTCCTGGAACCCAGTACAACAGTCTGCAAGTGGTAGGATTTGGTAGATGCTGGACTGACTGACTAATCCCAGGACATGCAGCTATCACCAGGGGTGTATTTTATTTCTGTAACAGGGATAATGATCCTGACATGTCTTTTTCTCTAACGTGAAGTTTCTCTTTTTCTGCTATGTTAATGTATTGAGGGGACAATGTGAGAAGTATTTTGGTGTCCCTGGTCAGCGGTAAACCTGCAGAGAGGAAAAGGGCCATGTGCACACTCCTTTCTTTCCAGTGTACCCCAAGGTCTTAGGGCCCCCAGTTATGACTTCTAAGACAGATAGCATAGCATGTAGAGGGCAGAGAGCCTTCCTTAGCCTCGTAGTGTCCAGGAGTAGAAGGCAAATGAATGAAAACTAGAATAGGCAAAGAAAAGGAAAACAAGTACAAAGATGGGAGACTCTGATGGGGAATCGAAGGTCTTTTTAATTTTGCTTTTAGTGTTTTATTACGGAAAATTTCCATACAAACATACACACTCCCACACACAGACATCACCTTTAGTGAGTAAAAAAGCAAAAACCAATACATTTGCAATACAAAATGAAAATTTTATTCACTTCATGTACAAAAATGGCCAGAATAAGATAATAACCTGTGCACACACCAGATGCCCATCCCCTGACTGCAGCAGTTCTTATCTCAGGGCCATCCTGTTCCATGAGAAGGTCCACGCACGCCACCATCCCTCTGACTTATTTTTAAGCAGATCTCAACATCATGTAATTTCATCCATAAATATTTTTCAATGTAAATCTCTAAAAGACTCTTTAAAATCCTTGCCACAATATCATGACCGTGCCTAAAACAGTAATCTCATAATTTCATGAAATCTCCTGTCATCATTTCATTGTCCAACTGTAGAGACGTTTTCAATAAATCTGAGAACCGAAAATTCAAAAATTATACCTATATTGGGAAAGAAGCTACAGAGGATCCAAGACTGATCTTTTTTTCATGTAAGAAAGGAGAATAAGGCAATGGGGAAATGATTTCGGAAAGTAAAAATAAAATAGCTCTGGTCTTTGCCAGGTTTCCAGTCTCACCTTGGTGGAGCACCTCAGACCTCCCCTGGCAGCAGGCGTGCATTGCCCGGCTTCAGTTAGGAATGTTCATTTCATAAGATGACAGGGCTGTTCTTCTATGTTGCTAGAAGTTTAAAATTTGGCCACATGACAAAAATGTAACATGGATTTTTTCTCTTTCGGTGTTGATTGAGCACATAATTTAAAAGTGAGAATATTAAATAAACATCCCTGCCCTTTCTTTCTTCCAGCAGGCAGCCCAGAGAACTGCTCTCCGCGCTCTATCTGACAGGTACATTTTGTCATTTTTATGAACTATAAATTGCTTTATGAAACATTGAGCCCTATTTATTGTGGCATATAATTCATAATCGGATTTTGTCCCTAAAGTATCAGTGAACTGGGATGTTAACCATTTTGCATGCTTGGATTTGTCATGCATGTGTGGAGTTTATTACTGCAAAAATCACCTTGTTGTATTTCATATCAAGTAGGAAGAATCCCTTGTTGTGCAATGAAACAAGAGACAAGAAACTTAGAGGAAAAGGCCTGAATGGTGCAGTAAATTCTGAACTTTGGGATTGGTTGAGATCGAAGCTCATTTTTCAACAATAACTACTTCATTTATTTTGAGATGTTTTCTTCCGACTTTTCCGTATCATTTCCCCAAGAGCTATCTATCTTTCGATAAGATTCTCTCTTGAAATCCCCTATGCATGTGAGCCGACAGCTCACGATCCTGTGCGCCTGGCTTTTCATCCCTTGCTTTGGTTTATTTCTCTTGACCTGTGTTATTGAACAAGGTGTGCAAACCTCATCAGGAAACACACTCAAGCTACACACACATCTTGCCTCGCTTAAAAGGCTATAGAAAGATAGTTGATTTGGTTTGTTTTTTCACTTGCTAAGATTGGCGCGTGTGTGTGTGTGTGTGTGTGTTTTGAAGAACTGTCAGGAGGTAAGATGGAGCCCCTGTGTGTCTCCCCAAGGGAGGAGCTGTTCCTCTCAGCTGGCTGACAGGCACCTCCCCATTGTCCAGCTTACCTTCACCGGCCTCCCTTCCTTCCCATTCTTTTTTCACGGAATGAGCAATAATTGACCATGTAAACCAGCTCAGCCGAGTGCTTCTCCAAGGTAAAACCCATCACTTGGGCGAATTATCTGGTGTGCATGGGTGAAAAGCGTTTTCTCTGTGGCAGCAGGCAGAGCATGAGTATTTTTATTTCCATCAAACAGCCTTTCCGTGACAACCACACAAGCCCAAGTGCTGTTAAGAGTGGTTGGGAAGCATATGTGCCTGGCTGCTGACCAGAGCTCAGCTTTCCCACCTGTCGGAAGGGCAGCCCAGCAAGTTGCTACCCTTTATGAGAAATAAAGCTCTCTTTTTACAAAAAAAAAAAAAAAATGGTAGCTGCCACGTGATCTTGAATTGCATCTGGGATTATCACAAAGGCTGATGACTGAAGTGGGAGAGGGTCTGGATCAAAACACAGTAATTCCCTTCTTGTGCATACTTCTTTTTTCCCTTTGAGTTTTCTTTTTCAACAAAACACACTGAGAAGCAAAGGAAAGCCGTGCATTTACAATACTCTGCTAACAAGTACAAGCTCTCCATTGGGGGGTAATGAAAATCTTGTCAAGTTAGATTAAGGTAATGGTCGCACAAACTTGTAAATATACTAGAAACCATTGAATTGTATGTTTTAAATGGGTGAACTTCATGAAATATAAAGTACGTTTCAGTAAAGCTACATATATAAACACGGAATGTCATTTTGACCTTAAGTAGAATGAATCAAAACCTATTTTAGGAAAGTAGGGACTCCCTTTGGAGACACAAACACAAAACACAGTTCCGCAGAATTGATGCATTCCTGGGCTTCTTCCCAAAAGACACAGGACTTTTCCCTGGGCAGAAAAGGCGCGTGGATTTTAATGATGAGCAATGCTATTTTCTTTGACTTTCTTCTAATATTCTCACTAAAACCCCTTGTAAACCCCACTGCCTACCCAGAAACAGAGGTCCCCATTGTCCTGGTCTTCTTGTAAATTTCTCTGTCTTTAATTATAACAGGGCATTTCTCCCACTTCAGTCTAACAGTCTTTCTGCTCAAACCCGGGGGAACTTGGTCATTTCTACGTGATGAGTTGACGCTGTCTACTATTCTGGTAGCGCATTTGCGTAAAGCTGCCCTCTCTGTGCTTTTCTGTATTCTGTGTGATCTACTAATGCAGAGCCATGAAAGTAATTTCTGTAATTGATAAGCATTTATAACTGTCTGGAAATGTAATATACAACCTTTCTTCAACATAACAACTTAAAAACATCTACTGAGTTAATTGGATTCATATTTTCCAGCTTTTTTAATTAGAGAATACTGATTTATCAAGTGGCAGGTGCCATTTTTATCACATTATTTTTTTGAATAAACAAGTATTCTAGAAAAATGACCCGTGTGACTCAGCATCAGATCACTGGATGACTAGGCTAATGTTCTGTCCAAGAAACCTCAGGGTGGGGGTAGAATTAAGTAATGACTCCCCAGGCTGTGCCCGTGCCAAGGTGGGGCTCTCACTACAATATCTCTGTCTCTGCAGAGCCCGGGCAGTAGTCATCCAGTATACATTTGTTCACAAACTATTCTCACTCCCTAAACTATTTTTGTTTTCAACCTGTCACTTCTATGTAAAATGCTATCATGACTAGGCAGCACTTTCTTCTTTGTTCTTAAAAATAAAACACGTTTCAGACCTCAAAAGGTGCTTCCTAAGTTCTGCAATTCTGGAGTGGGGTGCAAAAGCTCCCACTGTGCCACAACAGGCTGCTTGTGGCAGAGAGTGGCTCTGAGCACTCCTGGGTCTCAACCTCCAGACCTTCAGAGCCCCAGTGTCCCACAGTGCCACTTACCTGTGGGCCTGCTTCACGTCCATTTAGCCTCCACCTCAAGTACCCCATGAACACAAGGGCATTTGTACAGGGGTAGAGCCATTTGGTTTCGAGATGTACAAGTTGATGTAAAAAAGGATTTTGTTGACTTGAGTTTGGTGGGAGAATGTGGGTTTACATTGTAAAAAGCCAGTGGTGGTTGTCTATTTCCCCATAAGGGAGCCCTTCTTCAAAGCTTTGAGACCTGACCTGTTGAGACCAATTGTGAGGAAATGAAACTGTGTCCTTTTGTAAGGATGGATAGAAATCTCATCCCTCTGGGGTCTCATAGATTAGACTATGTCCAGATGTCCTCAGAAGGTCAATCTTGTCTGTCTTTTCTTTTTTCTGAAGTGTTCTGGTATATTTTCTAAACAGGCATTCTGGCACAAATCTAGTCTCTGACAGATCAGCCTGTATGCTTTAAAGTTCAGAGAATTTTCTGTAATCAATACACAGTCTTGATAAATTTAAACTGATATTTCCATTGCCTAAATTTAAAACACCATCTGCGATCACCCCTCCAAAAAAAATCTTTTGCCTTGTGTGGTTTTTCCTGAGTGATGGGCTTAACTTACGATTCGGCCAAAATAGCCAACATGAACTTCCTGCAGGTTGAAATGAAATCAGAATGGCAAGGTGAAGTTGGAATTTGGGCTTCAGCCCCACTAGCTTATGCCCCCCACCCTCTGGTGACGGGAAGGGTTGTGTGAGGGTAGGATGGTACATTTGTTTGTTCTTTTCTACTACTGACTGTTGAATTTTTTCCTTTGTGTATTCTATACCATTGAGAGTCAGCACACCCGCCAGTGGCCCACTGATGGATGGCCCCAAGTAATGGAAGACACAGGCGAACAGGGCAGAAAGAACTGCAAAATTCTTTCTAAGTAAACAAGTCAGTCAATTACAAGAAAATTACAGTTTGCTAAGGGACACTATTCTCCTCCCGTCTTCACTCCACAGAATGTGCCTCTCAAGTGTTTTTTCCTTTTATGGGTCATTTTATTTCATGCAGGTAGGAAGAGGCAGGAGAGAAGAGGGACAAATGGGCAGGAAGTTCATGTATAAGTGTACCTCTGGTGCGGACACCGTGCACTGGGAACACTGCGGCACCCCCTGTAATGTGGAAAATATGCAAAGTGCCGTTAGGAGGAAGGCAGAGTATGTGTGCAGCATGTGAAGTGCCTTGGAAATGATTAACTTCCCTTCATCAGTAGTAAATAGTAGATAACTGTGATCAGAAAAGGGATTCGTGTGATTTATCAAGCTGAGCAACCGTGCATTTGCAGAGAGGCTGGAGGTCAATCTTGAAATCTAGGGCAAGAGGAGCACCAGAAAATTGCCAGGACTAAGAAGTTAATCATCCCCTTGGACTGCTTCCATCTGTCCCAGAGCGACAGGGCTGCTCACGGCGAGGAGGCATGCTTTATAGCAGCAGATCAGGAATTAATATTTCCTGTGAAACCTCAAGCATCATTTGCAGTAACTTGGGTTTTATAAAAATGGAGCATAATTTTATATGAATAAATCACATTCAGCCAGAAATATGAGAGGCTGGGAAAAAAACTGTGCTCGACTTATAAAAAAAAAAAAAAAAGGGAATGAGCAAAAAAACCAACATGAAAACAGTTGTTAAAGCGATGGCACTTGGAGGGCACAAATGGCTGTGTGGTTAAATCGTGCATATAATCATCTTCTGAAATATCAGCCTGCAGCTCCAGCAATGGCTGCGTTTTTATAGCCTTGGAGATGCATCACCAGACTGTAACCTGTCTGCCCATCTGGCAATATCTCAGGTCCAAGATCCATTTGTATTGAAATCTAAACAACTGCCATTGATTTATTCATTTATCCCACAGATATTTACCGAGCGCATCCGGCATGCTCCACGGGGTGCTGTGCTGGGGCTGGGGGGCCATGGTGAGACGCTGGCAGGTGCCTGTGCTCACAGCTTCACCAGCCACAGGAGTGTTGTCTTTGAGGGAGGAAAGACTCAAAGCTCATGCATTTGCTGTTCTCCATTCCGCCATTTCTCAAATAAATCTCATGTATTAAATCTCCTTGTTTCCCATTAGGGAGAATATAATGACATAGGCAAATGAGGAACAGCCTAAAATTAAGGGAGTTTCACCTCCACATAGGTAGGAGAATTTCAAATGGTCATGAAGGAAATGGCTCCGTGGCCAGGTGGGAAGGGCAGGGTGAGTGGTTTGCTTTCAGCTTCATCTTCCTGACACCTTGTCAACTGGACCAACGTCAACCAAGCAAAGGGAGCATGGTAGACGTGGCCACCAGCATAGAAGCGTACCTTTCTGGGTAATGTTTTGCCAGTCCCGGCCTATATGAGAGGAAAGTCACTGACACGC